GACGGGTCCTTGGAGAGGGACATCATGCTTGGGAGGGTGAAGGGACGGCGCAGGAGGGGAAGACCTTCTATGAGATGGATTGATTCTGTGACTGGGGTAATCGGGATGGGTGTGTCAGAGGCAATGCGGTTGGCGCAGGATAGAGCAGGGTTTAGGGCTGTAGTGCATAGGGTCGCTATGAGTCGCAAACGACTCGACGGCACATAACAACAACAACAACAACCGTTAATATCAAATACAAGTAAAATTTTGCTGAACATTATTTAAAAACAGTTGAAATAGTACATTGATTAAGAAGAGGCTGGGGCACAAGAGATATAATTGCTAATGTCAGGTGGATCTTAGCTAAAAGCGGAGAATAACAGAAATATGTTAACTAATGTGTTTTATTGCCTATGCAAAAGCATTTGACTGTGTTGATTATAATAAATTATGGATAACACTGAGAAGAATGATTATTCCAGACCACTTAATTTTGATCATCAAAAACCTATACATGAATGAAGAAGCAGTTGACCAAACATAAGAAGGGAACATGGTGGTTTAAAATCAAGAAAGGTGTCTGTTAGGACTGTCTCCTTTCTTTATCTCTATTCAGTCTATTTGCTAAGCAAATTGAGAGGCTGGACTATACAAAGACCAACATGGTATCAGGATTGGAAGTAGATTAATCAACTCCCTGTGTTGTTCAGAAGACACAACTTTGTTTGCAAAAAGTGAAAATGGCTTGGAACATTAGCTTCATAAAATTAAAGACTACAGTCTTGAATATGGATTACTCATATTGTGCAGAAATAATCATCATAGATGGAGAAAAGATTGAAGTTGAGAGTGATTTCATTTTACGTAGGTCTACAATCAACATTCATGATAACAGCAGTCAAGAAATCAAAAGACATTTTGTAAATACCTAAAATAGCAAAGAGATGGAAGCAACCCAAGTGCCCATCAACAAATAAGTGGATAGAAAGATTGATATAATCATAAAATAGAATACTATGCAGCACTGAAAAACATTGTATATTAACTTTGCAAGTAAACCAGTATAAAATTAAAAAAACACACACAATGAATTTTTAAAACATTATACATCATAGAACACATCATGCTGAGTAAACTATCTCAGTCACAAAAGGACAAATACTGCATAGCACCACTGTTATAAAGAAGGTCTGACATGAGAGGTTGGGATGAGAATAGGGTACAAGTAGATAGATAATGACAATTGCATTGGAATTGATAAAATAAAGAACTGTATAAAAATATGTATATATGATTAGGCATTATACATACAATAATAGCCCAGAATAAGAGATATATCATTGCAAAGAGGACTAGGGAAAGGGAGCTAAGTAATTTTGCAATAATTAATAATTTTTTTAACTTGAATTGGAGGAGGAGGAAGGGAGGATGAGAAAGTAAAATATGCAAGAGTGAATGAATGAAAATCTGACTCCGCTGTAATGTTTGTTAAAGTCACAATTAAAACAAAATTTTATTTTTAAAAAAGACGTATAGTATTGGTAAAGTCAGCTGTCAAAGGTAATTCTAAAGTACCAACAAACAAGGATGCCATTTTAAAGGCTAAGATGTGCCTGATCAAAGCCATGATCTTTTCAATCACCGCCTATGCATCTGAAAGTTGAATAATGCATAAAAATTATAGAAGAAGAATTGATGCTCTTGAATTGTGGTACTGAAGAAATATACCATGGACTTTCAAAAGTAAAAAAGGTCAATCTTGGATGAAGTGCTCCTCCAAAGTGTTCTTAGAGGCGAAGAAGGTGAAATGTTGTCTGATGTATTTTGGGTGTGTTGCCAAGAGAGATCAGTTCTTGGAAAAAGAAATCATGCTGGCAAAGGTCAGAGAAAGAAAGGAAGACTCTCAACAAGTTAGATTGATACAATGACTTAACAATGGGCTTGAGCATATCCAAGATCATGAGGATAGCACAGGATAGGGCAAGGTTCAGATCTGTTTTTCATACAGGTTGCTATGAGTTGTAGTCAACTTGTTATTACCTAACTACAAGCTTTAAAATCCTTAAGATGGTCTACAACCAGGAGAGAATAAAATAGATGAATGGGACCTTCTGAGAATCAAATCCCTATGCACATCAAAAAACTTCTCCAACAGGGTAAGAAGGAAACCCACAGACTTGGAAAAAATATTTGACAGTGACATAATAATTTTTTTAACTTGAATTGGAGGAGGAGGAAGGGAGGATGAGAAAGTAAAATACGCAAGAGTGAATGAATGAAAATCTAACTCCGCTGTAATGTTTGTTAAAGTCACAATTAAAACAAAATTTTATTTTAAAAAAAGACGTATAGTATTGGTAAAGTCAGCTGTCAAAGGTAATTCTAAAGTACCAACAAACAAGGATGCCATTCTAAAGGCTAAGATGTGCCTGATCAAAGCCATGATCTTTTCAATTGCCGCCTATGCATCTGAAAGTTGAATTAAAAAAATCCTTGTTATAGTATTGACAATATTATAAAACTTTTACAATTCTGTTTCCCTCTACAGGTTATATTATCACTGAAATACCATCATTTTCACAGGAAACCATAAGTATTGTAGACCAATTAGAATTAATTAAGAACTTAAAGTTGAAACCGGATATTATAATCAACATTAAGGTAAGGATATTAGTGGTTTTTCTGGCACAGTAACATTTTTTCCCCTTATAGTAATTAAAGTTACAGAAGGTTTTCAAATTTTTTATTTTTAAATAATTCTAGAAATAGTAATTTACATACCAATGATAAGGTGTTTTCTTTAAATTAACCTTTTACTGTGTTTTACTGAGCAAACTGATTTTCCATTTGGTAATTCATGTGTTTCATGACTTCATTATGTATTGTAACACTGACTACAAATATCTCTGTAGTTTTTGCACCTGCAACTCCGATTCCATGAACAGGTCTTGACCTCGTCACCAGGTTGATAGCCATCCTTTTAAAGTCATTCAGACATTACTCTAGTTTCCTGTTAGTGGTTGTGTGTGCCACTGAATCGGAACTGAGCCATAGCTGACCCTCCAGTGAGTTTTCAGAGGCAGCAAATCGCACGTGAGGAGATTGTCCATCCTTCTAGAGCCACCAAAACAAAATACCACAAACTAGGTGGCTTAAAGGAACGAAAAATTATTCTCTCTTTAAAAAAATCATTCCTTGTTACATAATCCCTCACACACACACCCAGTCCACTTTGCTATGCACCTCTTATTCTGGACTGTTGTCATGCAATTAATGCTTAATTGTATATTCCCTTTAAACAGTTCTTTCCATCATCTGTCCCAATGCAGTGTCCATTATTTATCCCCTCTTTTCTTAGTTTCTCCCCAACCCTCCATGTCAGTTCTGTTTTATAACAGTGTTGTTATGCATTATTTGTCCTTTTGTGACTGAAATGTTTCACTCAGCATCATATCTCAAAATGTTTCACTCAGTGTAAAAGTGAACTGGGGGGGTATGGAGGAAAATGTTCAATAATGAATGAATGGAAATCTAAGTTTTCTGTAAAATTTTGTTAAAATCACAATGCAATTTAAAAAAAAATTATTCTCTCTGTTTTAGAGGCTAGAAATAGGAAAAAAATGGTATTAATGGCAAGTATGATTTCCCTGAAAGCTTTAGGGGAAGCTCCTTTTGTCACTCCCTTTTTCTGGTAGCCTCAGGCATTTCTTGGCTTGTGAAATCTTTGTTTGGTCTTCATGTGTCTGTCCTCCCAAGTCTGTGTATCTCTGCTCATTATCTTTTAAGCACATTAGTTAGTCATGTTGTCTTCGAACCCACCACTACTGCAGTTTAACTTCATGTTAACTAGTTAAATCTGCAAAGATGCCATTTCTAAATACAGTCAGTCACATTTGCAGGTATAAACAGGGGATGAGTGTGTGAACATCTTTTTTAGGAGCATAAACCAATTCCTACAGGCAAACTTATCTAGTTGATTCTGCTCATAGCAACCCTATAGGTCAGAGTAGAGCAGCACACAGGATTTTCAAGGCAATAAGTCTTTATAGAAGCAGACTGTCACAACTTTCTTCTACCCAGCAACTGGTGGATTTGAAAGACTAACCTTTTTATTAACATCAGAGGCTTTTAATCACTACATACCGGGTTCCCTATGGTAGGTTCAGCGGGGCTACGGGGGGAGGTGAGTAAAGGAGTCCATCTATGTGGAGCTATTGTAGGGACAGTTGTCAGGGAAAGTCTCAAGGATATGATGCCCGTAGGGTTGCTATGAGCAGAATCAACTAGATAAGTTTGGTATTTACCATGGTCCCTCATCTTGCTCTCCTCTCTGTCATACTATTTATCATATTGTATCGTATTGTAATTGTCCTTTTTTTCTCCTAGATTGTCTTACTTGAATTCAGGAACTATGACTTATTCATATAAACAGCAATTAATATAATACAGGATAGCTAGTAGACTGCGCTGCTAACCCAAAGGCACACAGTTCAAATACACCACCTATTCTGTGGGGGAAGGATGAGCAGTCTCCTCCCATGTGATTTATTACCTCTGAAGTCAGCTGTGCATGGTTTCCAACTCAACCATACATAATAACAACAAGTAGACCCTTAGGAACTTTTTTTGTAAAATAAAAAGACAAATGAGTGATTAGGATGTGTGTGGATTAAAAAGAGCTGCTAGAAATTAGAAATTTCAGATGTTAGCCTAAAATAAAGCCAACACATCAGAAAAGTCAGTGTTGGCCTGACTTTTTCCTCAGGTTGTGCTTTCAGACTCAGTAGCCTGTGATGGGATGACCCCTGCTATGATAGTTAATTTCATTAAGAGGCAGACAACCAGATCCTGTTCTCAGTTCTCTGCCTTGTCAACTGTAAGAATTTGATGTTACATTTATGAGTCTAAATATCCTCTTTACAAAGATGGAAATTGCTATCTTGTAAAGTTGTGATTAAAATTTAGGAAGGCACTATATTCTTGTTTACATGAGAATGAATAATTAGTGTTTGTGAGTGATTTCTCTGCCTGGTTCCCTAAAGGGTTTCACACAGCTCAGAATGAATAGTGATGGTTCTCTGCTCAGATCTGAGACCCAGTGATGTGTCTGGCTCAGGTGGGAGGAACAGGTGGTCCTACAGTGTCCAGCGTGGCTCATCTTCAGCTCCAGCCACAGTTCACAGCAACAGGCCCGTCCAAGTGTCCTCATGCCCTTGAGAATGTCACACATATGGACGTGTGTCTGATGAAGGGGAGATCTCAAAATAGGAAGTCTAACCATGGAATATTTAATAGGAAGTTAAATTCTGGTAGATTATAATGACCCATAACTTAAGTACATTTGATTCATATATTTGGTCCTAAGTTTGATGAGCCAAAGTAAACAGGAAAATGTATAACCCACATTGTCCAAGAAAAGGCAAGCTATTCCTTAGTAATAACAAAACTCCCACTGAAAAGGAAAGGAATAACTTTACTCATATTACTGCTTAATAGAGTAAATGAAGTCATAAAGCCCATTAATTTTATAACTATCATAGCAGGAGTCATCCCATAACAGGTTACTGAGTCTGAGAGCACAACCTGAGGAAGAAGTCAGGCCAACACTGACTTGTCTGATGTGTTGGCCTTATTTTAGGCTAACATCTGAAATTTCTAGAGCAGAAGTTGTGGCTCTGGTTTCTTTAAGATATATTTCCAGGAGTGGACTTGCTGGGTCAAATGGTATTTATATTTCCAACTTTATGAGAAAATGCGAGACCACTTTCCGTAATAGTTTACATTAACACTAGCAGTGAATAAGAGTTCCAATCTCTCCACAACCTTACCAGCATTTATTGTTTGCTGCCCTGTTGAACATTGCTATTGTTACTGGGGTGAGATATCTCATAGTTGTTTTGATTTGCATCTCTCAGATTGCTAGGGATTTTTAACATTTCTTCATGTGATTTTTTGTTGTTGTTTTTTTTTATTGATGGTGGTGGTTTTCTTTTTTGTTTGTTTTTAGGGGTTGGTTTTTGTTTTAGGGGTTTTTTTCCATCTGAATGTCTTCTTAGGTAAGTGTCTGTTCATATCCTTTGCCCATTTTGTGATTGGGTTGTTGATCTTGTTGAGGTGCTAGAGTATATTCTATACATTTTAGATATAAGTCCTTATCAGATATGCCATTGTCAAATATTTTTTTACTAGTCTATGGGTTCCCTTCCTACCCTGTTGAAGAAGTTTTTGATGTGCATAGGGATTTGTTTCTTAAAAATTCCCATTCATCTATTTTACTTTCTCCTGGTTGTAGGTATAAATAGGAGTTTTGAAAGCATATTCAGAGTGTTCTAAGTGATTTAATGATTCTATTCCTTAGTGCCCTGACTTTGATCTATGCCAAAGAGTTACTGGGCAAAGGCAGCACAGCAGCAGTGGGTACATATACCCAAGAGATCAGTGGGATCCTGAAGTCATTGAAATGCATAGGAAAAAGAAGAAAGAAGCCCAAAAAGAAGGAAAAGGAGAAGAAGAAGGGGAAGAGGAAGAAGAGCAAGAGGAAGAAGAGGTAATATCTAATCAGTGTACTAACCAAAACCAAACCTGTTATTGTTGAGTCCTGCTACCCTAAAGGACAGAATAATACCACCCCATAGCATGCACTGGGCTGTAAATCTTTACTGAAGCTGACCATGGAGTGACTGGTGGGTTCAAGCAGCTCTCAGAACTGACCCGAGAGCTGACCCTCTGGAGAGTTTTCAGAGACAGTAAATTGGCCAAGAGATTGGCCATCTTTCTCCCTTGGAGCAGCTGGTGAATTCGAACCACGTGCCTTTTTTTGGAGCTCAACTCCTTATCACTAAGCCTCCAGATGGAAGCAGAAAAAAGCTAGTAAGGGTCCTACCCAATGTAAAGTTTTTATTCCATCTGATAAAAGTCCATTAAGAATGTTCAGTCTCTCTTAAATAAAATCTTAAAATTTAATCTTTCTCCTTCCCTTCCTTCTGACCCCGAAATGGCATCAAGGTCTAGGGGATAAGAAAATGGCTTGTAAATTAATATTCTTTGACCTAAATATACTTAAACTTTTTTTCCCCATTTAGACATTTATTGCTGAAATGCAGATGGTGGCTGAAATTTTTCAACATCTAGTTCAGAGGCCAGAAGATTTTTTAGAAAATGTTGAAGCCCTCATTAAACTGTATAAGGAAATAATTCTTCGTCCTATAGAAGTAAGAACAAGACCTACTCCTGAAAGTGGGGATATTTCTATTTGTATCTTACCATTGGTTAAATGCTTGTCACTTTTCTTCATCTCCTTATATCTGTGCAAGTCTCCCCCAGAGGTAGGCGTTGTTATTATGTGCCATTGCAGAGCAGTTTGTATTTTACTTTACAAAGCGGCTATGTTGTGAAAAAGTGTTGGATGTGGTCACTTTTTAGCAACAAAAGTGGCTAAAAAGTGACATTTTTCAAAAGGTACTAGGGCAATTTACTTATGGATGGTGGTTGTAGAAACATGTTAAAAGACTATTTTATACAAGCATTTTTAATCTCTAATTTAAGAGTTTATCAAAATAAATGTACACTTAAGGTATATCTTTTGTTCTAAAAGGAATTTTTCATTTAGTTAAATGATAATCTTAAGAATCATTATCTTCATATCGGTTACAATGGTGATTCCCTTCAAAGTAGATGATGTGTAAACATACCCCCCAATCCCACTGCCTTGAGTGACTCCCGACTCAGAGCAGCCCCCACTGGGTTTCCAAGGCTGTGGAATCATCAAGGGAGGAGACTGCCCGTCTTCCTCTGAGGAGATGATGGTGAATTTGAATGGCCAGGGGCACTCAGCCTTTTGTTAACAGCACAACATACTCCAGACTACACACCACCAGAGCTCCTATCTAAACATAAGATCCTAATGATCCTATGTAAACACAAGATATGTTGTTATTGTTATGTACCATTGAGTCAGAACCCCTCAGAGCCAGCTGTCCGGCAGGTTTTTAGAGGTAATAAATCTCATGAGAGGAAAAAAAAAATCGGAGTGGATCCAAACCACTTGCCTTTGGGTTGGCAGTGCCATTCTTCACCGCTAAGCCACCGAAGCTCCCAAGACCATTATATAAAAAAACTGTGGTTGAAATAACTAGCATTTAACCTAATATGATCACTGTTACTACAATTATATGGAAACTCTATTTTATGCTATTAAAACTCCAGGGAGGATTCCTGTGATGGTCCTGGTGGAGATTTATTCTGCAAATATTTATTGAACATTGGCTATTGGTTCAGATACTGTGCTAAGCATTAAAAAAATTTCTCAAGTTCCTTTTTCCATCTAATAAAAGTAAATAACTTGACGGCCTAGTGGATAAGGAGTTACGCTGCTGATGGCCCGTGATTCAAATCTACCAGCTGCTCTGCAGTAGAAAGATGGACACTCTCCTCCCTTGCTATTCATGGCCTTTAAAAACCCTCTGGGAAAAAAAAATTTAAAAAAAAACCTCTGGGAGGGAGCTCTGGTTATCTAGTGGCAATAAGCTATGTTGAAATCCCAAAAGCACGTGGTTCGAATCCACCAAATACTCCGCTAGAGAAGGAGGAGCGATCTTCTCTGCCAGTTAGATCTGACTTGATGGCGCACACACACACACACACACACACACACACACACACACACTGGAGGGACAGTTATTAGTCAGTTACAACTCAACAGCACATTGCAATGAGAAGATAAATGAATACTATTCACACGAGATGCTCCCCTGGAGAAGGGAGGGGCAATCTCCTTCTGTGCTAGTCAGATCCAATTAGATGATACACAACAAGAAGGGGGGAAATGAATAATATTCCTTCTTATTATCCATCCCCCAGGTGAAATGAAATAATTTTCTTATGTGTGACTTATTTTCTTCTCCTCTCCTTCTATCAATGGCCTTAAACACACAGCTTCTTAAAAGGGAAGCACATGTCTACCAATAACATCCTTTTTCCGTTCAACAGAAATATCTTGAGTACTGGCACTGGGAATTAATTTCATGGCAGGAAAAGGCAAAGTAATCACTTCAAGGGCAGGAACAAGCTCCTCTTAGCATTGATGAAGCTCAATGCAGTGCACAGTCTCTGTGCAGTGCACAGAGTAGAGCTCAACAAATTGGAAGCTGAGCCACTGAAGAGATCACAAAAGAAGAAGAGTCATAGATGAGTCATAGATAGTCTCCATTTCATTAAATGTGAAATTTCTTGTCGTGTGTCATAAAGTGGATTCTGATTCATACCAACTCATATGTGGAGTTTATGAGGTTCTTGGGGTTTCCAGAGCTGCCGTCCTTATGGAGACAGATGCCATATCTTTCTCTCACTGAGTAGCTGGTGGGCTTAGGCTACTGATCTATTAGTTGAACACTTGAACCACTGCATCATTCCAGTAAAACTTCTAGGAATTAAAAAAAGAAACAAAAATGTTCAAGCACATTAAAAGACAACCAATTGGGCAAATATCTATACGAAGTCTAATTAATGATTTATGGGATTTGATATATTAAAATTGACATGGGAATTATTCTTTATAAAACCCCTGATTCCTTACCTAAATTGACAACAAATATGAGCAGGTGATTCACCAAAATGAAAGATAAAAGCATAGATAAGCTTGTAGAGAAATGTTTAACCTCATTAATAATAAATTCACAGCTGTCAGGTTAGTTTTGACTGACTTGACCCTCCATCAGGTTTCTGAAGCTGTAAATCATTGACAGGAGACTGCCAATCTTTCTCTCATGGAGCACTTGGTGGGTTTGAATCACTAATCATTCAGTTAACAGTGTTACAGGTAACCCACTACACTACCAGAGCTCCTTCACCAATAAAATAATAATAAAATGAAATGATAATTTAAATAATGAAATAACATTTGACTAGGGATGATAGAAGGAGAATTGATGCCTTTCAGCTGCGGTGCTGGAGTTAGAGTATTGAATATACCATGGACTTCTAGGAGAACAAACAAGTTCGTCCTAGAGAGGGTGAGATCAGGCTGCTCCTTGGAGGCAAAGATTCTAAGGCTTTATCTGATATACTTTGGACATGTAAGGAGGGACCAGTCCTTAGAGAGGGACATCATGCTTGGGAAGGTGGAGGGATAGTGCAAGAGAGGAAGACCCTCGATGAGATGGATTAATTCAGAGACTGGGGTAATGGGTGGAAATGTGTCAGAGACAATAAGATTGGCACAGGATGAAGCAGGGTTTAGGCCTGTTGCATATAAGGCCGTTATGAGTCACAATCGATGCCACATAACAACAAACAATAAAAACAATTTTGAAAGATTAATAGAAAATGACAATTCTTAATGGCATAAAGGATTGATAAAGGTAGACTATCTCATTATACTAATGGGAATATAAAAGAAAAACATTTCTACTGAGTTGGAACCAATTCTTGCTGACCTTCCAGTGGGTTCTCAGAGGTTATAAATCACACAGGAGGAAATTGTCGATCTTTGGTGAAATGGCACATCTTTCTCCCATGGAGCCTCTGGTGGATTATTAGTGCTGTGCTACCATCAAGTGTGGACTGACACAGTAACTGGGGTCACGGGTGTAGCTCTAATGGAGTCAGTGAGACTGATTCAGGACAGGGCAGGCTTCAGAGCTATTGGACATAAGGTTACAGGCAACTCGATGGCACATAACAGTAACAACCACCACTATCAGGTTAGCAGTGCAACCCCCTATGGACTATGCCACCAGACTCCCCTGGAATATAAATTGTTGTTCTGAGCTGTTGCGTCGGAGCCAACTCTCCTAGCTGACCCTCCAGGAGGTTTTCAGAGGCTGTAAATTTCGCCAGGGGACATTACCTTTTTCTCGGATAACAGCTAGTGGATTCAAACAGCATGCCAGCACAACTCCTTACCACTAAGTGACCAGAGTATATATACAGCCATTTAAGGAGCCCTGATGGCACAGTGACTAAATACTATATTGCTAGCGGAAAGCTTAGATGTTCAAACTTACCGGCTGCTCTGCAGAATTAAGATGTGTCAGTCAGCTTCCATAAAGATTTACAGCCTTGGAAATCCTAGAAGGCAGTTCTGCACTATCCCATAGGGTCCACTCCAAATCAGGATCAACTCTGTGGCAATTGAGGTAACCTATTTTGGATAGATTGCCCACAAAATGTCTAAAATTGGAAAACTTCTAGGCCCTTTCGCAAAACATAGATAAAAATGCACTGTCCTAAGACTATGTTCAGAGATCATTTCTCCAGTTCGTTACTAGAGAAGTTTCTCAGATGGTGTAGAGCCCTGAAATCCGCCAGGAGGAGGCACAGCGTTCTCTCCCGAGCGTGAAGCCGGCTAAGGGGTTGCTTCAGTGCAACTGCCTTATGCCATGGATGATCGTTTCTCTCTTCCATCACGGAAGAGAAAGGGGAAGAGGACACAGTCTGAGTGGTTTTCTTGAAAAAGGAGGGAGAAATGCATTGTCCTATTGCTGATAAAACAAGAATTTAAAAGTCAAGAACATAGCTTGCACACCTAAGTGAAATTTGCTAAATCATAAAAAATAGTTTTATACGATAATTCCAAGGTAATGGCCTGGGTAAGATATCAACTCAGTTGGGTGGCTAATACCCCCAACATTTTAAATAAAAGTAAAAGAAATTCCTGGGAAAGGCTGATGGCATAGTGCATAACGTACCATATCTAACTCAAAGATCAGAGGTTTGAATCCACCTTCCATGAACGAAAGTGAGTCAATCTTCTCATAGAAAGATTTGTAGCATTGGAAACTGATGGAGGGCTATTATGAGTTAGAACCAAAATGACTCAACAACAGTATATTTGTTTTTTTTTGGTAAATGGCAAACAATAGAGGACATTTAAATAAATTGTGACATAGTCACAGTATGTAATTCTATAGTCATCAAAATGTTGTAATGACAGTGAATTTATAAAAGTAAAAAAAAGATAACTTATAACGTTAATGTTACAATGTTAAGTGAAAAAAACTCTAAAGTTGTATATATGTTATGATCTTTGAAGTGTGCAAAACCCTT